TGGCCACAGAGACTGCCACTGCCAAGGTGCTGCCATCAACAGCACCCACACAGGGTGCCATCAACAGGACCCACATCACACAAGCACAGACACATCCCCTCCTCCTCTGGGACTGGCAGAGACAGGAGGTCACTAGTGCAGACACACACACACATACTCACCAGGTTCACATGCACATTTGCAGCTCCCTCAAGTCCCGCATGGCCCCTCTGTCCCCCCACCACCCCTGCTCAGACCCCCACTCGCTCCAATAGCTGATGCTGAGATCCCACTGGCTCCATCATCTGACACCACAGCCCAGGGGTGCCCCCAGCCTGACTCCAATAGCTGGCACCAATTTTTACTCACACACACAGAGGCCTCACCAATAGCTGGCACTTAGTCCACGAATGCACATGCATACATGGGATAAAGAGTGAGATTACACAAAGAGATAGTCAAGAAAAGATTTAATAAGAAGATGTAAGAAGACAGGACAGACTGTGGTGATCAGGTGCAGGGCTCAGCCAGACAAGCGAACTGACTGGCCCCATTTTACATGCGACCGGCCCCTTATGCCCTTTTCTGTTTACCCCCATCTTTGTTCCTCCCTGCTCCCCCTTCCCCTGCATGTCCCCTTATGGGTTTGTACAGCTCTGTCAGTTCCTGCATCTACCCCAGCCCTGTCTGGGATCTCCCCTGGTTCACAATCTTATCTGAAGTCCAGGTTGATCTTCCTGGAAGTGGCGCCTGTAGCCCATCAATTAGTGTGACTGGTGAGGTTTGTTTCTTCTCATTGTCTCCATGTTTGTTTTGTCAGGTCTGTGTCTCTGTATATGTTGTTTCTGGTTCCCCCTTTTACCTTAGTTTCCCTGATCTGGTAACCTTGCTGGAATAAACATTTTCACACTCTCACATGCCTTCATCAAGTAATGTCACTGACCGGGTTTGCTTCCCATCACCCTTATGATTTGTCAGTCAGGTTTGTGTCCCAGTATGTTCTTCTTTATGGCTTCCTCCCTTTCTTACTGTCCCTTGTGGTGTCAAAAAAGGTCCTTAACCAGTTACTTTTAAAGGAGCAGGCACTCTCCTTCCACAAACCCTTACAGAGCAAGTCAAAGTTATTCTGGTTCGACATTCAGCCTGCTCCATGACATCCTCTGCAGGATAATGGAGTGGCACAGAAGCCAGGCTCCTTCCCGCAGGCTGAGACCTTGAGTATGCCTGCAGGCCTCAGGTATTGTAAATCTACAGGCCAGAACTGCAAGTCGGCCTTGTGGTCCATAAGCAGTTGTCTTACTCTATCCCAAGCTTGAGGCTGGTTTGAGGCTTGTCAGCACCCCATACAGTGGTATAAAGAAATTCAATGAGAGAAAAATTCTGCCTCACTAAGCTTTCCTCCTTCTCTATTAGCATGTGTAGATAGACAGAGAGGATATGATGGGATCCATTAAAATCATAGTCCATAAAGAAATAATTGTGCACAATTAGAAAAAAAACATCTTGCTGGTTAAAGCAAGCTCTTGAAGTCAGGAGCCAAGTGTTGCCTTATTTGGCATTATCAGAGCTGTCTTTGGGTTCCTCCATCCTCCATCCTGGCACAGAGCAATGTGAAAAGAACAGGTCAGTGCAGCAGCTGACTTCATACAACCTTAAACCAATCCTGTCTCTGAGTAATTAGCAGAGAGATCAGAGCTTCAACACGTTTACAACTAAAGAGTAAATTATTATTGACCAAAAATAGAGCACTTGAATGCTGTGTGGGCAGGAGGTTACATATAAAGAGCCATAGCTGAAGGCAACCTTATTCTTTGTTACCTCAGCACTTCATGGTAAGTTCCATCTGCTTGCTTCATACTCTGACCATGGCATCTCCACAGCTCTGCAAAAAGGTGGAATACGTAAGGGCATTTTCCTCTCATTCCCCACTTCTAACGTTCCAGGTCATGCTTTACATGCAATGCCAAGGTTATAAGACCCAAACCAGTGTGGTGGGACAAGCAGAAGCAGAAAAGCCATGCCATGCCATTCCTTGGAGGGACCTTCTACAAACTTTGCTCCTTCCAAGCCCTATGAAAGGCACAGGAAAACTAACTCTGAAGGCAGTTGAAATTTATTGGGAAAATATATGTAATGTAGCTGATCTTTTCCTAGACATTAGATTTATTTTCTGCAGATCACAGTAATGTGGGGAAGAACATGAGATTTTCTGTGGGATTTGGCTCTAGTTCAAGAGTTGTAAGGCTCTGTGTACAGTTCAGTTGTTGGGAGAGACTACTCAAGGTGTATGAATGCTTGATAGAGCATATGCTCCATGGACTATGGACAATGGACTGTTTTTGATTTAACTCTTTCTGTTCTTTCTTTAACCATTCCCACACAGATACTGAAAGCAGATTTCCTCCTCGGCTTTCTGAAGGTAAGGGTTTAGCAAATAACTTGTCGTTTTGCTAACTGATCCTGAGCAATGAGTGAAGCTCACCCAGACAATGGCAAGGGCAGGTGCAAAAGACCATGTTGTAGAACCAGGTTCATTGAAAAGGATATATGCTATTTTAATCAGTATTTCCTACCAGTTCTTGGTAGGAAATATTCCATTTATCAGGGAAAAAAGGTGACAGATGCTTAAGCTTAGCCAAGAGGACATGAGAGACAGTGATAGTAATGTCTTTTTGTGATGTAACCTGGGATTCTGGGATTTATAGACGATTAAAATTCACCTCCTACCACCTCCACAACTGCTGGAAGCCTGAAACTGAGGTTTTGTTCAGAGAGGAGGCTCAAAGTACAATTCAGGAAGAGTCTAAGCTTATCCTGCCTTAAGTTAGTTTCCTCTGGGGTAAGGTCTAGAACATTATATGCTACTTTGGGTTATCACACAGGTCCTGAAACCAGAACAAAGTTCAGGACGATCTTGTCTCCTGGCTGATAGACAGATCTGTTTATGTACAAAGAGTCACCTTTACAGAGAACTTAATATGCACCATTCCCTTCTAGGTTTTCTGGGGAAGGTTAGTGATTGAGTGACTAGGAGAGTTCACCAGAGCAACAGAAGGAACCCTCCACACATATGCCTTCCATCCTAATACCAAAAAATGCTCACTGAAATTGGAGCTGAAAGGGATGGAAGTACAGGTTATTCTCCCAGAGGATGTCTTCTCCTCTGTTCATGAATGCGTAAAAATCTAAATTTTATACTATTTCCTATCAAAGACATACAGTAGTTTAACAGACTGTGCCCCCCGAGAAATTTTCTGATAACCTATTGGCATTTTCTGATACTCTGCTTGACCTTTTCATGGACACTGTGAAATAATTTCTCTCTTTCTTTCATGTTGCTTCCCTTGAGCCACTCAGAAGCAGAATCACATAGGCAAAAATGCTGGGCTCTATATACATAGAATAATACTTTCAAAGTACTCTAAAAGTTCTGGATTCTGTGCTTTGAAATTCCTATTAAAGGGTCTTGAGAGATGCAGTCTGTCAAAGTCCTGCAAGGTGCATATCTCATAGCAGAAAGGTTTTGCTGAGAGATGAGCGCTTCTACAGCAATGTGTCCAAAAGCAGCATTACAAATGGTTTCAGACTCCTTTCATCATTTTCTTGCACATAAAATCGCTCCATGTTGATTGATTCAGTACTGTAATGTCTTGGAAGTATCCATCTAAGTTGTTCAATTCTGTCCCTCTATCTTTTTTTTTTGTACCATAGTGCATCAGACAGCCATGAAGTAGCAGGAGTTTAGAATTTTTTTTTTTTTTTGGCTAGCCTGTATATTAGCTTGCCTGGGGAAGAACGCTCTGTTTATACTAGTTCTTGCCTACATTATTTCCGCCTGTGTTATTTCCAGATGCCCTTGAATTATCCACATCAGTCATTCTGACTGTAGCAACGATAGCATCTATCTGTTTTGAAGAATTTTTACTAGATATTGCTAAAAATGTAAAATAAAACTGAGCATAAAGCAGTTTTCCAAAATATTTCTACTAGACAAATCCCTAACTGAATGACTGGTACATATTGGTACACATTAATTGTCTTTTAATGATTCATAACCAATATTACTCTATATAATATGCTAAAGCTAAAAGGTACTTTGTGATTGAAATTCTTTGAAATGTTATATCAAGTACTTATTTACCTAGATAATACTACGCTATTAATTATTGCCTTCAATACACATTATATTCCTTTATTAACTAATTTTGCCACAGATCTAAAAGATGTTTTATATTTTCTTCATATGATAAATAGGTTTGGCTTTAGATAGGTGATAATTGACCTTCACAATTTGTTCCAGTGCTTGGTACAGACAGTAACTACTTGAATTTTTCCTGCTTGGTATTAAAACATAGAAAACAGAAGGGTGCCAAGAATACCTCCACTTAGAAATGATGTGTGAGAGCCAATCTGCTTAACTTACAGACCTTACTTGTGTCTAAATTTTCAGATGTCTAATGAATCAATCTGTCTAAGTGGCTATGTGTATGTGGCTTTGAGAAGTATGCGGTTATGCAGCTGTGTGAATAGCAGGTGAAGATACAGCAAGAGACGCTTTTGAAGATTTCTAGCTTGATATTCTCTCTGCCCTCACTTGGGCACACAGGCATCCCGTTTAAGGAGGATGTCTTCAAAGACAATACACCTCTGTTTACAAAAGGAACTTTCTTTATTAGGACTTCTTCAGTGGATACTTAAAATTGAGGCAGAAGTTAAGTGCCTGATGTTGATTAGTCCTCTTCTTCCTTTTAGTCATTGAGCACAACCACTTTCTGGATAAATATAAATTACAAATGCACAGGCTCTCTGAAACTTTTCTGAATTCCTCCAGAGCAACTCCAGCCATGAGTTCAGATGCAGAGATGGCAATCTTTGGAGAAGCTGCTCCTTATTTACGGAAGCCTGAGAAGGAGAGAATTGAAGCCCAGAATCGCCCATTTGACGCTAAGGCAGCCTGTTTTGTAGTGGATGAAAAGCAAATGTATGTGAAAGGTACCATACAGAGTAGAGAAGGTGGCAAAGTCACAGTTAAAACGTATGATGATACAGTAAGTGATACCAATTGTTACTCATACATGATCACCCAGTTCAGGCAATTCCCTGGCTTAGATTTCTTCTCCTGTTGTTCCTTTCTGGGTTTGCCAGACTGTGTCTGTAAAGGATGATGAAGTCTTTCCCATGAATCCTCCCAAATTTGATAAAATTGAGGACATGGCCATGATGACCCACCTCCACGAACCCGCTGTGCTGTACAACCTCAAAGAGCGTTATGCAGCCTGGATGATCTACGTAAGTACCAGCAGCAGTCTTCCTTTGGCTAGCTCGGAGGAACTGCTCTGCCAGGCTAAGTGGAAGCCAACGTGCTGTCTCCCTTCCTCGCAGACCTACTCGGGTCTCTTCTGTGTCACCGTCAACCCCTACAAGTGGCTGCCGGTGTACAACCCGGAGGTGGTGGCTGGCTACAGAGGCAAGAAGCGCCAGGAGGCACCTCCACACATCTTCTCCATCTCTGACAATGCCTATCAGTTCATGCTGACTGGTGAGTCATTTGGCAAGAATGGGAAACCCTGATATACACAGGGCTGGCTGCTTGGTTAAGGAACAGTTGACATTTCAGGAATCTTAGGTGCTGTTCTACTCAGTGCCTGATGGCAACAGGTCCCATTGTCCTATGGCACAACTCAAGATTAGACTGCCTGTGGCACCTTAATGACCTCTGTGCTATCAGATAATGAAGGAAAGGCAGTAGCTAGCTATATGGCTTTGTGCCCACTCTCCTAGTAAGGAATTTAAAGAAACAGTAAGGAAAGAACACCGCAGAGAATCTGATTCCGATTAAACAATATTTAAGCCAAGGTCTATACATAAAAGGAAACAAATAGTAAGTGGGAAGCCTTATAAAGAACCACGCTCGGAGTTAGATTTTGGGCTGCTCCATCCCTTTGTGCACAAAAAAAATCCACACGCAGGCTAATGCAGAATTTACCTTATCTGGTTACAAAGTGATAAATACAGTTACAATATAGTTCTGTCCCTTGAAGTCAGTTAGTTATGTCTGAGGAACAGAAGCCCTCCACATCTCATTTGAACAGCTCTTTCTGTGACTTTGTTTTCAGATCGTAACAATCAGTCAATCCTTATCACGTGAGTATAATTTGGTTTGTGTGACAAAGCTGACAGAGAAGTAAAAATGTTTCCTGTTTCCTGTAGCAGTTAATATTTTCATTTCAACAGTGGAGAATCCGGTGCAGGAAAGACTGTGAACACAAAGCGTGTCATCCAGTACTTTGCAACAATTGCAGTTACTGGTGAGAAGAAGAAAGACCAACAGCCTGGCAAAATGCAGGTATGTCATTGGCTCCTCCTTCTAGTGTTTGTCCAAGACTTGCCTGCAGAGCAGAAATTATCAATGTGTATTTTGGGGTTGCAGGACTATCAAAAGACAGAAAGTGTAACACAACTGAGGAGACAGTCAGGATGCACAGTGCGAGCACACCTATGCTCTTTTACCCGTTACCTGGCCTCCATCCCTCTGAACATTAGTGGAACTCTACTTAAAGAAACATTTTCTTAATGTAGGAAAGGCCTTGGACTCAGTTTCTCTCCAGTTTCCATTTACACAGGGGAAGTCTTCACCAGGGAGAGGAAGATAATGTAAGACAGCAGTTTTCTCTGTGCTGTCTGTCTATGTATCTATCCATTAGTATTCTATGATATTGGCCACATCCACAGTACCTGAGTGGCTGCAAGTGTAAAGAGAGCAGTCAGCGCCCACTGGCACGTGATTGTACCATTCCAATTCCTTTTTTCATTCCCATTGACAGGGGAAGTGCAGGAACTCTGAACACCAGAGTGGTTGTGCTGAAGTTAAGAGTAATTTCAATTGCATCAGGTAGTAGTTTCCACTGGCTTGTTCTCCTGCCTGTGGTCAACGTAACAGCCCTGAGGGGCAGCATAAGAAAAGAGACAGATTTGGGACAGCTGGGACCACCTGCCTGACAGTTAGAAAGTAACCTCAGAAAGGATCCTTCCAGGGAAGAAAGCACATGCTCTGATGCCCCTTTCTGCTGAGCAGCCCAGCTGCTGCAATCTGAGCCCACTGGTGCGTTTGCAAGGCGTGGGCTTCATTCCCTAGCACAGAGCAAGCAACAAATGTCCTTGTGGCACAAGTGTGTGTCACCGCAGCCTGTGAGATGGTATGTGCATCAAAGCGGGTGACACATGTCAGCACGTTATTTGAGTACCCAAGGGCACAGCAGAACCTAAGGAGATTCCAAGGCTGAATATTCTTTTTGCACTCAGAGGCAGGTGTCTGTGATTGATGGGTTGTTATGGCCAAGGCAAGTTCATCACAAGCTCTCTTCCCATCAGCACCATTTCAGAATCTCCTGTGCTCAGCTTTCACCAGCTGCTCACTATGCCGGGACTGATCTCAGAAAAACTTTGAGACAGCTGAGAAATGTACTGACCATGTTTGATATAAGGAAAATCACCTGGCTCTCAGATGGACAACAACCTGTTCTGCCCTCTTCCAAGTTTATTCACAGAACACTCTATTTTTTTAGTGTTCACAATCTCTGTAACAGTAGTATGTGCCTCTTCATAAGAACATCAAATAAAACACTGAGGTTATAGTTCTGTCTAGCCCAGCATCCTATCTCAGATGCAGGCTGCAATCAGATGCCAGGCAAGAGTATATGAATAAGGAAGCATGTAACAGCATTTCCCCAGAATACTGTCCCAGCCTCCAGCACTTTGTCACCCAGCCTGTAGACAGGACTCCAGAATGAACTTGTGCAAAGAATTGCCATGTCTTCTTCCATGCTGTTCTCCATGCACGATGCTCCCTTGTGAGTTCCCTGGTCACAGCTGTGCACTAAAAAGAGGTTGGTGTTGGTGTAGTGAGCTGCACTGACACACACTTCTCTTCTCTTCTCTTCTCTTCTCTTCTCTTCTCTTCTCTTCTCTTCTCTTCTCTTCTCTTCTCTTCTCTTCTCTTCTCTTCTCTTCTCTTCTTCTCTTCTCTTCTCTTAAACGAGGAAGTTCATTTAGAAAGCTGAAAGATACATCTGAGAGGGCATTACTCTAGGAATTTTGGATTTTTTATTTAAAAAAAAAAATACAGAGCTTCATATGCTACTGTGTTGCCTTAATTTTATAGGGTCCACCTTCATGGTGGACTAATAAAAACTAATTTAAACCCGTTGTGCCATCTGCAGACAGTGTTGGGAATGGCGGTCCCTCTCCATTGCAAGATGTTAAAGGTTGCACTGAACACCACGTACAAAGATGCAGCAACTTGAGCTGTGCCGCTAATCTTTCTGGATAAAAACTGGTTTTTTTTTCTCATTATTTGTTTTCCATCTCTGTCTTGGAAATTACCCCTTGCAACACTTTCATGCCCTGACTACATAGGGATCAATCACAACATTGCTAGAAGCCTTGAGAAAAGTTTTGCTCTATCATTCAAAAAAAGCACACGGTGACTCTGCTTCCTGGATCATATTGCACAGAAAAGGAGAGACATAATGTCACAGAAGCCTCTTTCCTGCCATATTTTTGCAGTTAACAAGAGTGATACAATATCAAAACTTTACACGTTGATCATTCCTTGTGCAGTCATGCAGCAAAAAACCCAAAGATTTTCTGTTCTCTGCTTTTTTAAGTTTGGTGTTTGGGTCTCAGGCCTTGTCCATGTCCCACTCTTCTTTTTGAAGCATGTCTGGAGATGTATTTCTGCATTCTGAAAGGCTGCTGGTTGTTTGAATGCAATTGCAAAACCTTACATTCTCCCTTGCTAGGTGCTTCCTGCTAAAGGTTGTACCTCTCCCTGTGTGTCCTGGGCTCGAGTAACCTCCAGAAACAATCCCAGAATTTTCACATTTTCTTTAGTTGTCATGGCCTTTGTGAATGGGAATGTGGAAGCACCTCTCTCATACAGATTTAAAACTCCTGAGCCCCACTGTAGTGACTCTGTATATGATACCCAATATATGATAGCAGGTACAAGAAGGAAACAAAATATAGATCTGCCTTTCAGCATTCTTCCCTTTGAAACCAATGGCAATATTCATGAGTGATGGCTGATGAGTGCTTAAAAACTCTGCTAAATTTTAGGTTAAAATCACATATAAAGTGTAAAAATTATCTGTTTGTAGTATCTCCTTTGCAATATTTGTTATTAACCAGTACTGAAGTTTGATAAAAAGCTTTTTCTTATCCCTGTAACTAGGGAACTCTGGAGGATCAGATCATCCAGGCCAACCCACTGCTGGAGGCCTTTGGCAATGCCAAGACTGTGAGGAACGACAACTCCTCACGCTTTGTGAGTTCATTTCAGATTTGTTGGAATGCAGACATCTAATATATGCCTCATTCATTGACCGCTATAACCAATGGGTTGATCTGTACTGCTTGATAGGGAAAATTCATCCGGATTCACTTTGGAACAACTGGCAAGCTGGCCTCTGCGGATATCGAAACCTGTGAGTGGAGCAAGTTAGTGCATGCAGAATTTGTGCATTTGTGATCTCAAGTTTACCAGGAGACTAACAGCATCTCTCTTTTGGTTAGATCTTTTGGAGAAATCCAGAGTGACTTTCCAACTGGCCAGTGAAAGGAGCTATCATATTTTTTACCAGATAATGTCCAACAAGAAGCCAGAGCTCATTGGTGAGTGTCAGGGGTGCTGGGCTTGGCTCAGCGAGGGCTTTCTCTTTCTATTGTGACCTGCCCCGGTGCCACCAAAGGTGCCCTTTATACCTGCAGATCTCCTCCTTATCTCCACCAACCCCTACGACTTCCCCTACGTGAGCCAAGGCGAAGTCACTGTTGCCAGTATTGACGACAGCGAGGAGCTGCTGGCGACGGACGTGAGTACAGAGGAGCACCGGCGGGGCGGCCGCCGGACCGGCTGCAGCCAGGGAGGGCCGGCCGGCCCG